ATATAAGACGACCGTGTTTTTTCAGATGTATTTCCAAGAAAAAAACATTGTCTTATATTCGGGTCAATACGGTATATATATATATATATTTTTTTATTTTTATTATTATATATAAGGGGGTTTAATACCTACCAGTTTTTTAGTATTTGGGATGTGTTCTGAAGAATGGGATGTGGCTCTAGCATATATGTTGTTGGTTTCTATGCTTTACATGTCTAAAAGTTTTGATGTATGTTGTTTTGTGCCATTAAACTGGCAATATTTGTCTTTTCACCTTAGACCTGATTGTACTGAAAGTGGAAAGTGAAGAACGGAATGAAATGGAAGATAATGATGAATATGAGAAATATGATTTCATGACTGGAGAAAAATCTTTTAGTTGCTCAAAGACTGAAAAAATTCAAAAAAGTGCTCAAAAGACTGGAACTAGAAAATGTTTCACCTGCCAACAGTGTGGAACGAGTTTTGATCAAAGTAGCAATCTTAGAGTCCACATGATTATTCACACAGGAGAGAGGCCTTTTGTTTGCCAGCAGTGTGGAAAAAGTTTCAATCGAAAAGAACACCTGACAGTCCACATGAGAATTCACACTCGACAGATCCAATTCACCTGCCAACAGTGTGGAAAGAGCTTCACTGAAAAAGGAAACATGAAAACCCACATGAAAATTCACACTGGAGAGAAGCCTTTTGCCTGCCAACAGTGTGGAAAAAGGTTCATTCAAAAATCAAGCCTTAAAAACCACATGGCAATTCACAATGGAGAGAAGCCCTACACCTGCTCTCAGTGTGGAATAAGTTTTATACAAAACTACAGCCTTAATGCCCACATGAGAAGTCACACTGGAGAGAAGCCATTCGTATGTGGTAATTGTGGAAAGAGTTTCAGGTATACAGCAACCCTTACTAGGCACATGAGGATTCACTCAAGAGAGAACTGTTTTAGATGTCATCAGTGTGGAAAGAGTTTCACAGATGAGATATGCCTTAAGAATCATGTAAAATCTCACATTGAAGAGAAACCTTTCATGTGCCATCACTGTGGAAGGAGTTTCACAAACAGATCAAACCTTGATGCCCACGTGAGAATTCACACTGGAGAAAAGCCTTTCACCTGCCAACAGTGTGGACAGAGTTTTGCATTTAAAGGAAACCTTGATGTTCACATGAGACTTCACACCGGAGAGAAGCCTTTCTCGTGTTTTCACTGTGAGAAGAATTTTAGATATAAAAGAGACCTGAAATGTCATTTAAAAACTCATTCTGTAAAGACATTAGCCCTGTTTCCACCGCAGGAACTTTCCCCAGGAACTAGGGACTTTGGGCCGGTACTCGGTGTGTTTCCACCGCAGGAACCAGGATCTAAATAAAGTTCCGGGTAAAAATTTGCCCCTCAGAAAGTCCCTGCTCGCGAGGAAGTACTTTTTCAAAGGTCCGGAACTTTCGGGGGCGGGACTTGGGCGCTGAACATTCTGATTGGTCGAGTTCACACAGCATTGTATTTCAACCACCAATTATTCGCATAATTTTAAGTGTGCTTCGCTGATTTCTGAGACGGGAGCTCCAGGCGATCAGCGGGCGCTCAGTGCTCATGTTTTCCGACGAGAGCAGCCTCAACTCGGCTAGTCCTTCTGACATTTGCCGCTGGCTCTGATGTCTCTGTAGTGGTTAAACATAAGATATAATTCATTTTGGGTAAATCTAGCGGTTAATCTTTGGTGTTTATTCTGTTAATCTATTAATATGTTCAAATGAAAATGAAAAGAGGCAATACTGTTTGATATAATACTTCGTTTCATTGTAATGTATGTTCCCAGAACTACATTTCTGCAGCTATTAATGTTTAAATGAAAACAAAAAGAGGCAGTGGTGTTTGATATCATATTTCTTCTTATTGTAAATACAGTGAGGAAAATTGCCAAGGTGAGTAGCCAAGGCGAGCTGACTGAAGTACGCTGCTGTTTGCAGAATTACAGACTTGCGTCGTCCCGTCCGAAGGAGTTCACACTCCCGAGTCGAACTTGCGAAGTCCGAATTACAGAGGATGCAAGTCCAAAATTTGCGTACTTGGTATTGAGAAACGCGCGCAGACCTACGTCACCAGACTATTTGCCTGTTCTTCACGGTACTTTAGACCGCGATGGAAATGCAGACAGCAACAGGTCTGGGGGAAAATTCGGCCTTCAATACCATCATGCCTGACCTTCTCTCAGCCAAACTCACACAGCTCTCCATGCCCACCTCCGTCTGTCAGTGGATCAACAGCTTCATGACAGACAGGCAGCAGATAGTGAGGCTAGGCAAACTCACATCCAGGACTCTCACGATCAGCACTGGAGCTCCTCAGGGATATGTACTCTCCCCACTGCTCTTCTCCCTGTATACAAACAAATGCACTGCAAAGGACCCCTCTGTCAAGGTCCTGAAATTTGCAGATGACACTACCCAGGGTTCGTACAGAAACTGCTAAATGAAATTCCAGGACTTTTCAAGCACTACTTTTTTGGTTTTCAAGGACTACAATTAGAGATCACCATATCGTTATTATCTTTCAAATTCTAATAAATAAATGAATAAAACAAAATGGTACAAATAACGTGCAGCGCATGCAAAGCATGCAACGACTGTGGCAACTTTAACATTTGAAAGGATACTAGGGGTGGGAGAAAAAAATAAGATTCTCTGATGCATCGCGATTCTCTCTTCAACGATTCAGAATTGATTCTGAGCATGGTTTTTCCCCGCATTGAGACAACCGCGGCGGGCTTCATTGCACAGAATATGCGCTGTGAGACACGTGTGCATTGCTTGACAGTGTGTGCTTCCACCCGCTGTTATTTTAATATTTTACTTTAGATATGCTTTCATTTATGCTGTTTGGAATGCAGTACGTATAAGATGCACGAAACTCACGTACTGACAGACTATCATGTGTGCTTTGTGTTTGATGTCCTGAAGCTCGATCACAGCTACGGTTAAATGCACTTGCATCTCCGAATACTTTTATATGACAGTGAAATGTTTTCAGAACAGGACAAAACATCAGATATATCGAAATAGAAATGTGCATTAGTGTGAATCGGTGTGAATGCAGCCTGTTAAAGCTGCCAGTGTCTGTGATCTCATCAGATCACCATCAAACAGCAATAATGCTGAGGAAAAAAGAAAAACCCATAACTATGATTGTCTGTAAACTTTCGGATAGCCTACTTAAATACTTAAGTAATTATTTTAAAAAGTAGCCTGCTTATATAATTAAATTTTTTAAAATGATGTAAAATTTGCACAAAATAAATTTGATATAAAATTTATATGAAAATGTAGCCATGTGCGGTAATATTGAAAATTGAGAATGTGATGCATCGTGATATTGAGTTGAATCGAATCGTTGACATGAAGTCCCTAAAGATTGCCACCCCTAAAGGATACTATGGAAAAGTTATCAATTTCCTTATTCAAAGTGATTTTTTTTCATGAATCTATGATTAACCTGAAGAGTAAAAGCTATTATCATACACTTGGAAAATTACGAGCTATATCACGTTCATGGACACTAGGGGTGTGACAATACACTTAGCTCACGAGATGAGATAAAACAGATACTTGGTTCACTAGAACGAGACAATATTTTAATACTCTCAAAAAGGAAATGTGCTATAAAACTTGCCTTGCCTTGCCTAAGAGTGTAGTTTTAAGAAAATTTCGATTGCAAAATATTTGTCTTTTAAATCACAAAAGCAAAACACTGAGCTCCGCAAAACAATGTAGTTGTATTTTAAAATATGTTAACTAATCTAGAGTCATAACTAACAATTATTTTGGTAATCAAGTAATCTAATGATTATTTTGACAATTGAGTAATCTGATATTTTTTTGTAATAAACAAGTGAAAAACAGGCTTTAGTATGACTACATTTATATATATTAAACTAGTGATGAGACAAGTTTAGTGATGAGTTTTGTCCTCTGTAGAGGACATTGTTTTAGTGATTTCTCTGAGACGTTACATGCCACAGTTGTAAGTCTGGAGTCCTGTACAGAGCACATTCAGGGCTTTTCAGAGATACTAAATGATTGGATGTTTCACCGTGACCACTCCCTCTTTTTGGTCTTTAAAAACGGCTGACATTAATTTAGTGATCAAGTGTAACACCCTTATGGAAATATGATATTTTGTAATTATCATTTAAATCTGACTAATTTCAGAATGTTACGGGGTTTCAAATCAAAATATGAGCTTCTGTTATGAAACAGGACGTTGATTTGATACATTTTCAAGCGAGAGGACACCAGGACTTAAAGCATGTTTATTACACATTTTGGGAGACACAACAAATGAATAGAGAAAACATTATATATCAATATTCCTATTAAATATTATTATGAAAATCTTGCTCATTATTTCACTTCGTTGTTCATTCTATGTTGCCCCACGAATACATTAATATGCAAATTAGATGCCGTTTATAGATGCATTGTATATAATGGAAAAACACGTTTATGGCCATTTTGCATAAAGAATTTAAAAATATATATATATATCTTTCATAACATAGTTGAGAATCATCTTTATATAAAGTTAGGTATAAAAAAATGAAAATTGATTTGTGATCAAGACAAAAATCCCACTGTTATTGCCTTTTCATGGCTATTCATGACTTTTTATAAAAAAAATAAAAAAAACAGGACTTTTTAAAGTCCCGATGTTTTCTACAGAGGAAAACACACAGAGCAAAACATATGAATAAAATATCATTTTTCAAAAAATAAATGTTTCTATTTTTTTCTTATGCTCTAAAAAAATTTAATGACATGACAAAATACTAAATTCACAAACAAATTTTCCTGGTAGTCAGGAGGATATATATAAAATATGAACATAACCAACTTAAAGGGGTCATATGATGTTGCTAAAAAGAACATTATTTATTTATTTATTTAGTCATTTATCAGACGCTTTTATGTCCTGCCCGGTGGAGTCGCACGGTAGAGTCCATGGTCTTTACACTCTTCGGTCTTCACACGAGGAGGCCTTCACGCGACCGCTGCCGCGGTAAACTAAGCTTTTATATACCCTTCTAACAAAATACTACATTAATTCAGCTGGACACACTTTCCTTATTTTTTCACAACAAATGGCCAAGCAAGCTCAGACACTGACAAGATACGCGATACAGAACGAGACCAAACGCGATACTTTTACACTCTGTTCCATAATTAAAGCTTTATTCCATAAATGACAGGAGACAGTGAGCAGGGGCTGTCAAATCAAGACAGGACAAATACTATAAGCACTAGAAAGGCATCATAAAGGCAGTCCATATGAGAGCACTGTGTCACATATGCACTGATTTTATGACAGGCTATAGTTCAGATTTATTGATATTAAAATGCCCCTGCACGAAAAAGTCTTCAAAATTGTACTTGCCACGTGCAAAGACAAATCACAATTTAAAGAATTATTATTCATAATAATCAGAAGTCAGACAGAGCTTTATTACCAAGTATGTTTACACACACAAGGAATTTGACTTGAGGACAGGAGCTTCCAGTGCAGAAGAAAGTACAAACATAGTGCAGACATACACAGGAATAACACAGTAGAGATGGAATATAACACTAATATAAGAAAAACAGAAAATTAAATAGTAATGCACTGTATACAGACGCAGACAGACAAAAAATTGAAAGTGTTTAAATGAATGCACAGATATTTTATTTACAAGTCTGCAGATATGTTTTTTTACAAGTGTCAGGGCTAATCTTTGCTGTTTACCTCACGTTACGCTATTGAGGCTTTCTTTATTTTTTTTTATTATTAGTTATTTGATTCACCAGTGTTTGCTAAACATTCTGTCATTTATTAGTCAGCATGTGGTGTATGCCGTGCCTCGTCTTTTTCATTTTTGTTAAAGGGGTCATCGGATGCCCATTTTCCACAAGTTGATATGATTCTTTAGGGTCTTAATGAAAAGTCTCTGAGAGACTGTTTACTTTAGCCGCGAAACTTGCTAACTAGCGCGTTATTAGGAAAGGCGATTTGCAAAAATTTATAAAAACCCCTTATACTCACTTCTGTATGTGTAGCTGGATCTCGAATGATTCGCTCGAAGATAGACGCATTTAAGTTCTAGTCTGTCCTGTGTTCGCTTGTCCGGCATTGTATAGGTCTATTGTCTACGCGTCATCTGCCTACCTATTTGTGGATTTACCTTTATGTGGATTATTAAAGACTAGTTGCCGCCGCCTTCTTCGTGCGTGTTCTCTAGACACCGTAGCGTGACACATTGTGACTCATTTTGCCAGCACAGGTCACGAATGTTGGAAACCTCTCAAACTTGAAGGCAAGATATGATGTTTCAAAACTGTATATTGTATTTTCAAATGAAAATATTTAAATTCTAATAAAACAGAAATATGTACTTTTGTTATTTGCTTGGTTTTTATATAATGTAATGAATTTTAAAAATAGTTACTACATGGAGTAATTGGACAGAGCAATTGATATAAAATGACTTCAAGTTAAATTTAAAAGCATTTAGTGTATTAAACTTCAAGTAATTGTTGGAATGGCTGGAATTAAGTGAAGTTCACTCAAGTACATTTAAGACAACCAGATTCCTCATACTTTAAGTAAATTTAACTTATTGGAGTTTACAATTTTTGTAAGTTTACACACAAGCTGGTGTGTGGTGGGCGTTCTGGTGCGTGTACTAGAACAGGCTCTCATACTAGGTTGTTCGAAAAACACATTATTTTTCACATATTTTACATTATTACAACACCTCTCTCCCCAGTCTGGCATGAACGGCTCGAATAGTTCCTGTATCAAATGAAGGCCCGCCTTCTGAAATACGAAATGTGCTGTGATTGGTTATCTGGGCCATTGTGTGCTGTGATGGGTTAGCTGGGCCAGTGTGTGCTGTGATGGGCTAGCTGGGCCAGTGTGTGCTGTGATTGGTTAGCTGGGCTAGTGTGTGCTGTGATTGGTTAGCTGGGCCAGTATGTGCTGTGATTGGTTAGCTGGGCCAGTGTAGTGTGTGTTGTGATTGGCAGCACTCGGCATCTGGTCGGGAAATTACATGCCCCTTACCACTGCAGCTTCAGTGTAAATATTGCGTCAAAATCAAATCAATTTGAGCACGATTTAAACCCGGATGATTGTAAGCACTCTAAGTTCGTCTGCCTTGGGAAAGCTAGCGTGACATAGTGATAACACTCGTTGCCTAATCTAGTGCAGCTCAACCAGGTCTCGTCCCATTCGTCGATATTTGTGACATCACAAATCCCGGAAAATATGGGTTGTAGTCCAAACGAGTCGTTCGTTGTAGTTTTTGAAAAGTGATTTCTGTTAAATAAAATATTTCCTTTTGAAGTGGACTTTGAGCTTTGTAACTTTGCAGATCTTTTTTATGCTCAAACAACAACATTACAGACTTACTAAAGTTGAAAAATTGAAAAAGCATAATAGGACCCCTTTAAATGCGAATCGAATTTAAATATGGTTCAGAGTCTCAAGAAAGTATCAATAAGAAACGGGATAATCAGGAGCTGTGCAAATAAGACAGCCTTCTTTTATTGAATCTATCAGAAGGTTAGATCCTTGGTTCTCGACTTCCCACTTACTTGAGATTTAAGTAAAATGTTGAAACTTCAGTTTCAGTATAACCTTATATTAACTAATAATACTGTATGGTATCGCTTACATTCTAGAGGACATGCATATGAACATGGAAAAAAAGCAGAATTACTTTTAGCTCATCAGTTAAAATCTAAATCCACCTCTCAACCTATACCTCAAAATTGTAACAGTTCCAAGGACTGTTAATTTAATTGGAATAATATTAGCTTCCAGAAATTATTTTCAGTATTACATTCTTCCGAAACCATGAATCAAATTCTGTAATGTTGTATCTAACAGACATCCCCACCCTTGATTCTGTATAGAAAACCAATTTGGACAAGCCTATACAAATTTGAAATTTGACATGTGATCACAACATTGCAGAGTAGAAAGTCTCATGGTCCTGGTGATTACCCAGTAGACTGTTATTTAAAGGGGTCATATGATGGGATTTCAAGTATTCCTTTCTCTTTGGAGTGTTACAAGCTGTTCGTGCATAGATAAGATCCCTAAAGTTGCAAAGACTGAAGTCTCAAACCCAAAGAAGTTAAGACTGGTCCACGCCTTCCTAAAACGGCTCGTTCTAACACGCCCCACATGCAGACATAGTTTTATGTTTACGCGGCGCGATGCAACGCAACGCGTAAAAAGACAGTATAAGTCATTATAATCAGTATTTAAGTCCCCACTGGATACAACAACTGCCTCGTTTGTAATGGGTTTTATTGGTTTTGTCTCGTCCTGCTGGGAGACGGCATCACAGTATGGTGAGGGGCGTAACATTTCCGTCTCACGCTTGAGGTATTCGGCCAATCACAACACACTGGATAGCTGGCCAATCAGAGCACACCTCGCTTTTCAGACCGATGAGCTTTGTAAAAATCGACGCGTTTCAGAAAGGCGGGGCATAGAGGAGAAACAATAATGTACAGTATGTGGAAAATAATGTGTTTTTTTAACCTTAAACCGCATAAACACATTGCATTACACCAAATACACAACATAATGTTCTTTTTTAGCAACGTCATATGACCCCTTTAAAAAAAATCTAATAAATTAGCTCTGTCTTTACAGATATGTTTGAGGACACTTTGAGTAAGGGTTGCCTGCCACAAACACAGAATGAAGCATTTATCATGCAGTACTTCTGTTACTTTTCTTAAAAACAGTATCTTGGAGATACTAAACTCCACTCATAAGCAACTATTGTACATCTGTTGTTGTAAGCGAGTCATAAATCTGGTGAGGGCACTTCTCATCTGGGCATCTGTTGATTCTCCTGCAGAATGTTCCTATACATATTTTCCTAAACCAACCCCCTGGAAAAATGCCATTAGATAAACATAGGCAATCTCTTCCCTGCAGCACATCACTGGAACAAGACAATACATTCACACAGAGCATGCACTCAGAGTGTTAAATTAGCTGTATTATCCTGAATTGAATGTTTTCTATTTTGTATTTAACTCTTTCCCCGCCAGCATTAGTTTCTCCGTCCTGTTCACGTGTGTTTTTGTTCGGGAGGTTTTGTACTCGTTCAGAAGATGCGTAATAGCGCCCCCGAGTGTATAACAGTGAAAACACGAAAAGCCGTAAAAACTCGTCTTTGGCGGGGAAGCGTTTTCTTGTAAAAGACGAGACAACTCGTCAATGGCGGGGAAAGAGTTAATAAATCCATTGATTTGAAATCCCTTTGACTACTGTACATTTTCGACAATACAGACATTAGTTATGTGGTGACTGCATCCATTTCAGACGTATAATAACCGTTTTCCCCAAAGACTTAATTTATAGTAGCTGAGAAGTATTTAAAGTGAAACAGATGTATTGTTGTAGATTAATAGTGTGGGCTTAGTGAGGGCTGTCCGAGCAGGGCCAGCGCTAAGGGGCCAACGTTTTGCCAAACATGTGCTTAACATAAATAGATATTACAGAACATGCAGCTGGAAGCAGCTTCCAGATGTCACCAGATGAACCCTAACAGAAGCCACATTTACATACGTTTACCAGTCTATTCTCTCACTAAGCATGAATCAAATAATTCAGTGCAATGTTCATTATTTTATTCAGTTTGTCATTTTATTTTTAACCTTTCAGAAACATCGTGGCATTTAGCAGAAGTTTAACCAATATTGTGATTCTTATCAATAACTGAAAGGGAGCACCGCCTCCATGCAATCAAAGGAGACGGTCAGATGTGGATACAAGAATTCTTACAAAGTGGTCATGAATAATAATAATAACGATAATATTTTACATTTATATAGCGCTTTTCTAAGCACTCCTTAAACCACCACCAGTGTGCAGCATCCACCTGGATGATGCGACGGCAGCCATATTGTGCCAGAACGCCCACCACACACCAGCTTATTGGTGGAGAGGAGACAGAGTGATGAAGCCAATCAGCAGATATGGGGATGGTTAGGAGGCCATGATGGTCAGAGGCCAATGGGCAATTTTGGCCAGGATGCCGGGGTTACACCTCTACTCTTTTTCGAAGGACATCCTGGGATTTTTAATGACCAGAGAGAGTCAAGACCTCGGTTTAACGTCTCATCTGAAGGACGGTGCTTGTTGACAGTATAGTGTCTCCGTCACTATACTGGGGCATTAGGACCCACACAGGGGAATCGCTATAGTTTCCGGGGCCCCTGAACATCATATTGACTCGGCTCCCCCTCAGTAAAAAAATGGGCCCCCTCTCCCTCACCAGGCCCCTGACATCATCCTAACCTGGCGCCTTTTTATCCAGGTACTGACCAGGCTCAGCCCTGCTTAGCTTCAGTGGGCAACCAGTCTTGGGCTGCAGGGTGATATGGCTGGGCAGGTTGAAGGTGGACATTCAGATTGGGTCCATGTTCAGCTGAAGTGTAAAAGTTGCCTTAATTTCACACAGAAGCACATTTTCTGGTGTAAACTCTGATGCAAGTTTAAAGGTTTACGTTAACTGTTTAACTGCTTGTCTGTGTCACACCGATGACATAAATCCCTTGTGTGAATCCTCGTGTGGTTTTCCTTTCGTGTTAATAATTTTCCACACATTTGAATGGCTTCTCTCCTGTGCAAATTCTCATGTGAATCTTAAGATTTCCTATTTGTGAGAAGCTCTTCCCACATAGTTTGCAGGAGTACTCTCCAGTGTGGAGTCTCATGTGAGTGTTGAGGCTACTTTTATGACTGAAACTTTTTCCACACTGATGACATATAAAACATTTCTCTCCTGAGTGATTCCTCATGTGGTTATTAAGGCTTATTTTACGTGTGAACCTCTTTCCACACTGATCACATTTGAACGGCTTCTCTCCAGTGTGTATGTTCATGTGATACCTAAGGTTCACTTCTGTTGTGAAGCTCTTTTCACACTGATCACATGTGAACAGTTTCTCTCCAGTGTGACTTTTCATGTGGTAATTAAAGGTGTTTTTCTGAGCAAAACTCTTTCTGCACTGAGAGCAAGTGTAAGGTTTCTCTCCAGTGTGAATTCTCATGTGGACTTTAAGACTATGTTTGTGAGCGAAACTTTTTCCACACTGTTGGCAGGTGAAAGATCTCTCTCCATTGTGAGTATTCATGTGATAATTAAGGGTGTTTTTCTGAGCAAAACTCTTTCCACACTGAGTGCAAGTGTAAGGCTTCTCTCCGGTGTGAATTCTCATATGAAATTTGAGGCTTTGTTTTTGAGTGAAACTTCTACCACATTCTTGGCAGGTGAAAGTGTTTTCTCCAGTGTGAATTCTCATGTGATACTTAAGGTTTAGTTCTACTGTGAAGCTCTTTCCACACTCTTGACAGATAAAGGGCCTCTCTCCAGTGTGAATTCTCATGTGTTTTTTAAGGTTTCCTTTCTGACTGAAACGCTTTCCACACTGTTGGCATGTGAATGGCTTCTCTCCAGTGTGAACTCTCATGTGGACTTCAAGGTTTTGTTTTAGATTAAAACTCTTTCTACATCGATGGCAAGTGAAATAACTCTTGGATTTGGTTTTATGACCTCTTTTTTGTGAGGAAGTCTTTTCAGTCTTTGTGGATTTCTCTCCAGTCACGAAATCATGTTTCTCATACTGAGTTTTCTCTCCTCTTTCATTCAGTTCTTGACGTTCCTCATTCAACACCATCTGGTCTAAAGTAAAAAAAAAAGAAAAAAGAAAGTTAAACAGTTTAATTGCACAAAGCAACAGAAATCCAAACCAACATAAAGCATCCTAAGCAAGAACATGAATACTAGACCCTACAGGCAATAAGTTACTGAAACAGGAGAATATCTTCTCAATATTGTTAACTTTGTTTTCTTTAGGACATGTCCCCAAAACAAAGAAACAAAGTAGTCCAACAAAACCCCTTTATCACCTGACTCATGAGAACTATCGAACAATTACAAATTTGTGATTCATGTATAAAATTTCTACTATACACAGTTTTGCAGAAAAACTAAATTTCAGTCAGGATTTAAGCCCCACCGTAGCACAGAATCTTCTTACTAAAGTTACATATTTCTTCTAGAGCTATTACATTAGGTCCTGTCTTTCAGATTGCTACCACTTGTACTGTATATAAAGAAATATCTCATCAAACACAAGTATGGTGTGCCACAGGGCTCAGCATTAGGTCCTCTGGTTTTCTCCTTAATTATGCTTCCCCTGAAGGGGACATTATGATTCGATTTCATAATTGTGACCATAATACTCAGATTTATACACTGCTATCCATGGCAGCTTTCATTGGCCAAGGCCCGCCCATGAGGCCGTTTGACCAACATGTCAAACAACCAATCACAGTTCCTTTCGTTCAGCGTCACGTTTCGGGGCGTGGAAATGTCCCCACAATAACAGACTGGTGTGTAAAACTCTCGGACGTATTTTATAGATTCTATGCCGCGAACTTTAAATATTTCACATACTTTTGAAAATCCAGCGTTTAGTTGATCCTGATAAGCGCTCGTCTTCACAGTTGTAAACACGACGGCTTTCTTCTTTCGTGAGGGGGTTTGGCGCCACGGCATCTTTAGCCCCTTTTCCACCGCAGGAACTTTACCCAGGAGCTAGGGACTTTGGGTCAGTACTCGGTGTGTTTCCACCGCAGGAACCAGGATCTAAATAAAGTTCCGGATAAAAATTCGCCCCTCAGAAAAACACAAGTATGGTGTGCCACAGGGCTCAGCATTAGGTCCTCTGGTTTTCTCCTTAATTATGCTTCCCCTGAAGGGGACATTATGATTCGATTTCATAATTGTGACCATAATACTCAGATTTATACACTGCTATCCATGGCAGCTTTCATTGGCCAAGGCCCGCCCATGAGGCCGTTTGACCAACATGTCAAACAACCAATCACAGTTCCTTTCGTTCAGCGTCACGTTTCGGGGCGTGGAAATGTCCCCACAATAACAGACTGGTGTGTAAAACTCTCGGACGTATTTTATAGATTCTATGCCGCGAACTTTAAATATTTCACATACTTTTGAAAATCCAGCGTTTAGTTGATCCTGATAAGCGCTCGTCTTCACAGTTGTAAACACGACGGCTTTCTTCTTTCGTGAGGGGGTTTGGCGCCACGGCATCTTTAGCCCCTTTTCCACCGCAGGAACTTTACCCAGGAGCTAGGGACTTTGGGTCAGTACTCGGTGTGTTTCCACCGCAGGAACCAGGATCTAAATAAAGTTCCGGATAAAAATTCGCCCCTCAGAAAGTCCCTGCTCGCGAGGTAGTACTTTTTCAAAGGTTCGGAACTTTCGGGGGGCGGGACTTAGGCGCTGAGCACGCTGATTGGTTGAGTTCAAGCAACATTGTATTTCAACCACCATTTATTTGCATTTTTTTTCTTTAAATATTACTGTTATTGTGTCATGGAATGCAGTTTTAAAAGTATTTCAGGCGAGAATGTAGTTGTTTAAAACTCAAATCTGCAATTTATTTATAAAGACAGCGCCTATTTGAAAATGTGCGTCGCTGATTTCGGAGACGTGATCGCCACGTGATCAGCCAGCGCTCAGTGCTCATGTTTCCCAACGAGAGCAGCCTCAACTCCGCTAATCCTTCTGCCATTTGCCGCTATGCTCTGATGACTCTGTAGTGGTTAAACATGAGACATCATTTGTTTTGGGTAAATCTAACAGGTAATATTTGGTCTTTATTATATTATTTATTAATATGTTAAATGAAAATAAAAAGAGGCAATGCGGTTTCATATAATATTTTGTTTCATTGTAATGTATGTACATTCCCTGAACAACATTTCTGTGGCTATTAATATGTTTAAATAAAACGAAAATAGGCAGTGGTGTTTGATATCATATTTCGTCTTATTGTAAATACAATGAGGGAAATTGTAGTAGCCAAGGCGAGCTGACTGAAGTACGCTGCTGTTTGCAGAATTACCGGACTTGCGTTGTCCCATCCGCAGGAGTTCACACTCCCGAAGTCGAATTGGACTGAGGACGCAAGTCTGAAATTTGCGTACTTGGTATTGAGAAACGTGCGCTGACCTACGTCACCAGACTATTAGCGTAATCTTCTCTGTACTTTAGACCATGATGGAAACGCAGACAGCAGCAAGTCTGCAGGAAAAAAAGTTCCTGGGACAAGTCTCACGGAAATCCTGTATAATCTAACCAATCCGATGACGACTTCGAAACTCCTGAAGTGTTTCCACTTTTGTGTGCCACATGCATCAGACGTTCAGCCAGCGGTCCGCGGGCGTGACGTCTGAGGCTGAGACTAAGGGAACACCTAATCATCACAGTAAAACACTGTGAGTCAGTTAAATGTCAGGGGTATCAATCTGTCTAGTTAGGATGCATGACCCGTGTTTATTGAAATACATTAAAATACAAAAAAGAATGTGAGATCATACTAAATTTTATTATATTTTAAATGACTTTCACTTTCTTACAAAAACTTTAAAAAAGAAAGTTAATTGACATTTGAGGGCTGCACTGTGATGCTTAAATTTTAATGTCTTAAATATGCCTAATAAGATTATTTGTTATATAAATATTGTTACACTGAATGACATTTTAGTGTGTCTTCTGTCAAATATGGTAAAAAAAACGCATGATAGTCATTATATTTTGTTCAGAAAAAACTAAATTTAAAGCTGTATTTCACTTTTATTTTCTTGATGCTTGAAACCCCTTTTCGTCTTTGACCCATGAACAAAACTTAAAATGTTAAAACGTTTACATGATTTTCCTCATCATGCGAAGTGAGTTTGCTCATGTGGTAGATTGTATGCAACAGGTTTTTCAACAAAGGATCACAAGCCAGGTTTCCATCCAAGGAGTTTTTGCGCAAAAATATTTAGCGCTTCAAAATTTTTACCGATTATAGCTGATGGAAATGCCATTTATCGCATTTCTCACATGTCGACACAATCTTTTTCCGTTTAACTTTAGCGCATAAATTCTATATCGATACTTCAAATGTTTGGAAACACTTTTTGTCGAGAAAAGGGGCTTTAACACAAATAAATGTGGTGTCACATGACAGAATTAGCCTATAGGCAGCGTCCGTGTTCGTGGTGTTGCTCACGTTAAAGCACCGTTTCTCTGTAGTTTAAAAGCGCATTAAATCTCATATTATTGTTTCTAAAATTATTTTATATATGGTAAGAAAAAGACGAGTTACCTCTCAAACATACATATCTTAATTTAATGTTACTTTAATACGTTGCAAGTTAAAATGTATTCATTTTGTTCTGAAGATGAAAGTTGTCGAGTTAGTAATGCTTAGCTGCGTGCGTGAGGCGCCGGCACGATCACTTAGATTTTTTTTCCTTATAAAAGTGGAAACAACTTAGGCCTACAATACTCGTTCATTTGTGGTCATGTAAGAGTAAGACATTATTCGAAACTATTCTAAATATTTCTTTTATTTGTGTACATCCACAATAAAAACAAACATTGTGCTTTTGTAAAATAAAGGAAACAAACAGGATGCCGCTTTCTCAAGAGCGCATCACAAAAATGAACCGAAATTCTGCATATAGGCTGCTACTTGTTGAGCAGTTTTTTTCTTTCGTTTTGTTAATTTATTAATTATTTAGAAAAATATATTTCGCATATAGGCCTATTTATTTATTTTATATATAGCTTTATAACGCTTTTCTCCGTTCGCAGAAGCGCTGCAGGTGCGTGACCATGTGAATCCTCACGTTCTGTTGTTTATGCTGCTTTTTGCGTGTATAAAATTAATCCCTGGAAAACAAATTTAGTTATTTTTAATGGGTCACAGCCATGTATCAATTGAAATTTAATTTAATTGTAATTTAACATAATCTTGTCGGTTAACGGTTAATTATGGCTTAACGACCGTTGGTTGTCGGTTAGGAGAAATAAAATAACCGAAATGAACATTCCACGTATTTCCAATACGGTCTAATAAAAGTTAATCAGAAAAATAATAATACAACTGCACCTGCTTATGAATATTGCTTGATGATCAAGTATCTAAATACCGTTACCATGGAAATGGTACTTTAAAATCTTTTGGCGGTCTCCTCCTCCTTAGTGGGCGGTGTCAAGTGTCATATTACAAAATGTATAACGATATTTTACAATCAAAACTTTTTATAATCTTGACAAAATACATATCATTGGAAAGGTCTGAGTCTCATGATTCCATATTTGGTGGTTATTTTGAGATAAAAGTAAGATTTACAGAGAAATCTAGACATATGTGACAGAAAAATGCATAAAAAATGTAATGGAGTTTTGATAGCACCCGGTGGCTGTTTGTGGTATGACGCCCTAAATAAAATCTCAGAGGAACCTCCATTTTTTTCATATCAACTTCAAATTTGGAACATAACTTATTTAGACATAAGGCTTTAATTTTATACCAATTTTAGAGTAAAACCTGTTATGTAAAATATTTACTATATATAAAATAAAATAAAATGAGTATAGCGCATTTTCTTTACAGTAAATTTAGACGTCTGTAACTTTTTGATACTTGAAAAAAATTCCACTTTTGCAATAATCTGCTGATTTTCTTCTTTGGAATACAGACCTATGGTTGGTCTCTTTTTAAAGTGTTCATAAATTACAACAATTTAAGTTTGGATAGTGCACTTTATTGCCTATTTTAAAAAATGGGGGGTGACAATATAAATAATAAAGTTTTTTTTTCAAATGGATGAAAGAACAGGCTTCTAGCCTGTATAATTTACGCAATAGGTGAAATTATGTATGGAAGTTACCATGGAAATGGTACTTTAAAATCTTTTGGCGGTCTCCTCCTCCTTAGTGGGCGGTGTCAAGTGTCATATTACAAAATGTATAACGATATTTTACAATCAAAACTTTTTATAATCTTGACAAAATACATATCATTGGAAAGGTCTGAGTCTCATGATTCCATATTTGGTGGTTATTTTGAGATAAAAGTAAGATTTACAGAGAAATCTAGACATATGTGACAGAAAAATGCATAAAAAATGTAATGGAGTTTTGATAGCACCCGGTGGCTGTTTGTGGTATGACGCCCTAAATAAAATCTCAGAGGAACCTCCATTTTTTTCATATCAACTTCAAATTTGGAACATAACTTATTTAGACATAAGGCTTTAATTTTATACCAATTTTAGAGTAAAACCTGTTATGTAAAATATTTACTATATATAAAATAAAATAAAATGAGTATAGCGCATTTTCTTTACAGTAAATTTAGACGTCTGTAACTTTTTGATACTTGAAAAAAATTCCACTTTTGCAATAATCTGCTGATTTTCTTCTTTGGAATACAGACCTATGGTTGGTCTCTTTTTAAAGTGTTCATAAATTACAACAATTTAAGTTTGGATAGTGCACTTTATTGCCTATTTTAAAAAATGGGGGGTGACAGTTAAGGGGTTAATAATAGGCTATATAATAAAGTTTTTTTTTCAAATGGATGAAAGAACAGGCTACTAGCCTATATAATTTACGCAATAGGTGAAATTATGTATGGAAACAGCTCAAGGGCAATTTTTTTGCGATACACCAAAACTTATGCGACAATTCGTTTTTTTAGGGATGACGTCATCACGCACACCATTTTATCGGTAAAAGGCCAGTTGGATGGAAGCAGGCAGCAAATTTCGCAACGTCTTTTTTACGCATATTATCTTTGTTGATAACAAAACAGCGCAAAAACTGGATGGAAACTTGGCTACAGTTATGCTTAACTCCTTTCACTGTTTGCTGTATGCAAATTTAATGTTTTTGTTGGATACTGTTGTACAATTAAGTGATACAAATGAATGGTTTACATTGTTTTCAATGCAGAAGTAGATATTGGGTTTAATGTTACACAAAATGATTGCTTTGTTTAGACTAATATTTTCCCAATTTTATGCATGACATGTCATAATAACGAAAGTAGGGTCTTCTCAGCTGCGAAAACCAACCTGTTTGTTCCTCAGGATCTTCATGTTTGAATGCTTCTTCAATCTTCATGTCTTCACTCTCCTCTTTAATAAACACCATCTTTATAACAGTGTGTCACATGTGTCTCAGTCGCTTCAGCAGGAGTTTCTCTGTGTGTTTAAGATGAGAATAGGTAAACATGAATGCAAACTAAATCTCTGGGTGCGTCTCAATCAGCTCCTTATTTCAATAGTCAGCGCACTAGTAAGAGTCAGTCAATGGCCTGATTAGCCCAAAAACATAAACAATCAAAACCAGCACTACAAATTAATAAATTAATGTACATTATACAGAACCACAATATTTAGTTGGGTCTTAAATCTGGTATTCAATAACTTGTTAATTATATTACATTCTACTTTAAAACATTTGCTGTTGTTTGTATTAGTTTGTGTTTGTGTTTGTTGTACACTGTTTTGAACAGGAGTCGTGATTCAGAGATTCGAATCACTGAATCATTCCGGTTCAGTTGATTCGGATTTTCAAAAGCTCGGTTTCTCCAAAACTACGCGCCAGTGATCGAATCCGTGTTTACGATCAACTGATTCACCAAATAACGAGCGAAATGAGACGGACCTTTTCTGTTACTCGTGTGCAGATGCGCTTAGCTTACGAAAAATAACGGTCAATAATGTTAGAGAAAACATTAAGAAGTTACATTCAAAAATAATCGTTTCATTTACATCGCCTTTTAAAACGACAAAATCGGCTGTATCTATAAAAATCCATGTATCGATACACTTCAAATGCTTAAAAACACAAACCTCTTCAGCCTACTCGGAGATCAGCAGGAGCGCGGCGCAGCCTTATGACGTCATAGATCGCCACAGCAAAATAAAGGTCCCGTTCACGCGCTAAAATCACGAAACTGCACGAGACGTGTACATTACAGGCTATAATAATAAAACAACCGTCAGATGTATTGAGAGCTAAATAACTGGTGAAATACATCATCTGTTATAAAATGTGCTGAAAAGAGCTGCCAATGAAAGAGTGTGTAGCACATCTAATATGAAAGATTCGGTTTAAAAATAAAAAAAAACAGTTTTTGATACCAGTTTTTCTTGCCTCCATAACAAGCCTTTTTTTTTTTTTTTACATTTTTGATTTGATGCATTTTTCCATAGCAAATGATCCTCAGTCATTCAGTGCATGATGCCCAGTTTTTCTGTAATTATTTACAAAGTTGGCAAGTGTATGATGCCTAATGTTTTAAAATCTGCTCATGTATTGTATTCCAGCTTTAACCCTATAGGAAAAGAATTGGGTTAAAAAAAAAAAAAAACTTTTTTTTATACCAGTTTTTCTTGCCCCCAAAACAAGCCTTTTTTTTTTTTTTACATTTTTGATTTGATGCATTTTTCCATAGCAAAAAAAAGAGAAAATAACTATCTTACTATTGTATGTTAAAAAACACAAATATGCACCAATCAACAGGTAACATGTTGCAGTATGCTTTTACTCACTCTCACACACACTCACTCTCACGCACGCACACTCACTCACTCACTCACACACACACCATAACAAGCCTTTTTTTTTTTTTACATTTTTGATTTGATGCATTTTTCCATAGCAAAAAAAAGAGAAAATAACTATTTTACTATTGTATGTTAAAAAACACAAATATGCACCAATCAACAGGTAGCAGTATGCTTTTACTCACTCTCACGCACGCACACACACTCACTCACTCATGCACGCACTCACTCACTCACTCTCACACACGCACACACACGTGCACACACACACTCACTCACTCACTCTCACACACGCACACACACTGTGCTGCGTACAAAGTCATGTCCCAGTAAGAAGGGTCTAATGATGCCCATGCGTGACTTATTTGTGATTACTTCAAGTAATTAATTGCCACATTGTGCAATTTATTATATGAAACATTTTAATCAATTGAAAGTCCTAGTAATTTGACATCTTGACATACATAACATCTTTATGATGAGTGGAGTAAAAAGACCAAGGTCTATTGTATGGGACCATTTTGAACGCTTGGAGAACAACTTTTCTGTGACGCACCATGAGAAAAACAGTGAGAATGGCTTAAAATAAACAATTTGCATATTAGCTTGGAGTTGGACTACTGTCAAATATGCATGCTTTAAATGCCACACATTCATCTTCTCATCATAACCAGCAGCTTGTGCTGGAATGAGGCTAAACGCACATGATCTCAGAAAACGGTAAAACTCAACTGTTTAACTCCAGCAGAGCTGGAAAATGAGCCTATTTTCAAAAATAGTGGAGTGTTCCTTTAACACAAAGCAATGCGTGAGTCTGAAATATTTAAGTCAAGTCCAAAATGAGCAAACAGACAGCCTCTTCTGTCATTTTCATTTTTCAATCAAGCCAGTTTTTCCAGTCAGCTTCAGGGGAGTGCCGTGGGGTGGATGAAGCTTAAAAGACTCTCTCTCTTCACACTTGAACACATACTGGTCTCATTAGTGACTGGAAACTGGTAGGTGTCCCTCTTTTCCTGAATTAGTGGTCTTCTAGTATATATAGCTACATTAAATTTAAACAATGCCTGCAGGTTTATGAGTGATAAGATGACAGTTTGTCAATCACATGTGCTCATTCTGATTTCCAGTGACAATGCATCCATGTGCTTTTCTTCTGCTGATGGCTTTGGCTCTTCATCATGCTTTACCTGCGGACAGTCATTGATGAAGCAATATACAGCTGATTTTTTAGACTAATCTATTTTTCTTTTTAACTGAGCATTGTGTTCATATCTCATGTTCTCAGGGCACATATGAGGAAACTTGTAAGTTCAGTTATTGTGATCAGTTTCCAGGGCGCAGGATGTTCTGTACCCTGTTTTAACTGCTCGTTACTGCCTGATGATGTGATTTATCATTTATCATTTCACTTTCATAGAGTTACATATTCTCTAGCAATGCACACAATACTCATTCCCTCTCTTTGTCTTGTGTTGACTTCAATATAATTTTCTCAAAGACATTTTAGAGAAATGGAAGAGCATTCCGGATATAAACACAGGTAAAACTATCATATTATCTCAAGAACCCAAATACATTTATATTAGCGGTATGGTAACTTTTTGTCTATTTTTGTTTAGAAATTATTATTTTATTCAAAAATGTATTTACTGAAATACTTTTATTCATGCATATTTACTGTGAACTGAACTCTCTTGTGGCATTAGGTTTAAATCTCACAGAAGGAGACATCATGGAGGTGT